CCGTAACAAACACGGTAGTGATAAAAAAAAGTTCAAAATATTGTGAGAATTACCGAAATGTAACGAAAATGCTACTGCTATTGGAAAAATGGTGCCAACGGACGTGCGCAATGCAGGGTTGCCACAGCCCTTCAGTTTGTAAAAAACACACCCTCTGTGAAGCACAGCGAAGTGAATGCGGTACACCAAGGTATGCCTGCATATAATGCTGAATGGCAATATGAAAAAGAATAAAACTAGGCAAGGGTTGGAGTTAAAATGGCAGCGGAGGATTCCATCTCTGATAGGAAAGCTAAGGAAGGTCTTGGGATGAGGTGCGTCTGAGCGGTCATTGAGTGAATGAGAGATCCATCCGTACTGACTGAAGAGAGGAGTGAAGAAGGAGTGTACTTGGGAAGTGGTAAATTTGTAAGCTCAGTGTAGTAGGAATGAATGACAGGGAGGGGGACTGGGGTAGGAGGGTAGGTATGGACACGTCTTCAGAGATGTAGCCAGAAGCTAGCGAGACTGAAGACCTGGCCGCCACGCTGAGATTCTCGATGTTGCACAAAGTACGATGGGAAGCCACTGGTGGGTCCTGGGCGGGGGTCTGCGTGATCAGGCCCACATTTGAGTTGGATCACCGCGGCTGCTGCAGGGGATGGAGTCAAGAGTAAGGAGCAACCAAGAGAGGCTACTTTGACCTTCCTGGAGCACCGTGATGGTGGTTTGAATTGGGATGGTGGTGAAAGTGGGGTGGTGAAAAGTAGGAGTGAGATTTGGAGTGTACTTTGAAAGTACATCTGAAAGAATTTCTTGATACACTGAATGTATGATGTGAAAAAGTCAAGGATGACTCCAAGGATTTTGACTTAAGCAACTGGGCGAATGAACGACTCGCTTACTGGCATGAAGATTTGGGAAATGAGCAGGTTTGGGATGTTGTTTGCTTTTGGACTGGATTAGTTTGAAATGGCTCTTCAGCATCTAAGGAGAGCAGTCAAGGAGACACTTTGATACGTGAATGTGAGGTCCTAGGGAGAGGAGAGAATAGGAGAAATAAATTGTGGACTGGTCTGCATACAGCGTTTTGTCTGATACTGAAGCTATTTTTGTATTGATGTACAACAAAGCTGCACTCTGCACTGGATACTCACAATACACACATTGCACTTCACTATCCTCTTTTAAAAGTCACCCTCCCACCCAGACAACATAACCTAATTGCTCTATAACATAGAGTTCTTTTCTCTTAAGTGTTTGAAGGCAGTTGAGAATTCTGTGTATTGTACTCATTGACCACGGAGACAAATTAGCGCGCCCCAGCCAAGTAAATATTCTCTAAAACATTTTTCAAAAATATGTAACCACCATGCACCTTGCATATATTTATTCATCTTTTAATCACTAAATTATTCAATATGTATAATGAATATTGGCCATGAATTTATATTTACAAATATGGCGTAGTGTACAGCTCGAAGAGCATTCTTCATCAGTTTGGGAAAGAGAAAAATGTCTCCATTAAATAATTTTGTGAAAACGCAAGACTATCTTAAACTAAATGTCAGGATTCATGGCACAAGTAAGAAACACAAAGGGAATTTAAAGGAGAGAAAAGCTAACCCCCCACCCCTCCAAAAAAAAAAACAAAACAAAACAAATGAGTGTACCCCAAGGTGCCAAGTGTACGATTCTGGAACACCTCAAAGGGTTTAATGTAAAAGAACTGAGAAGGAATCCTGAAGCGCTCTCCAGGCTAACTCTCCAATTGCTAACCCTCCTATGGGAGGGCATTTCAAAGTCATCCCACATTATCTAGCTTCAAGGCCATGGAACCCATCGTGACCTAGTGTAGCCTGGATCATTTTCTATCTAAAATCCCTGAAGTGACCCCATAGGACAGGTTCAGGATGGGGTAACAAGGGAAGTTCAAGGAGAATTCTTAAAGATATCCGCGAATGTCGCCACGTAACTTTTGGGACATGCTTGCCTGGGCCCCTCCTATCTATCCTTCATTCTTGGACTCCGCTCAAGAAACTCCCGGTATCTAAAGGGTTTGCAACTTCATTATGAAAGACCTGTTTTGGTGAAGGATCCATTTCACTCTGTGTGCGTGTGAGGGGAGGGAGACAGACAGGGAGACTCTTCAAGCATTTGTTAAGTTATTTATATCTTTCTTCTCTATCTAGGTTGACGCTGGTTGGATGTGCCTTTCGGTATTTGCTCAGATTGATAGAACTGCCTCTCCTCTCATTCATTTTTCAGTTGGTAGATGCATTTTGGCTACTGGATGCCTGTCAGTGGCTGCTGTGCCCTGATGCTGTTTATCAGATGTCTGTGTCTCTATCATCTCTTTCACTCGGATGCCAGCAGCTAGAGTGGTTCATCCTTTCTGTGCTCCCTGATGTTTTCTCTATTTTTACAGGAAAGGATGCGTTTAGAGTTACAAAGGTGTTTTTCCTTGATCCGTTTAAGATTCACTCAGTTAACTGAAGAAAGATCAGGAACAAATATCCCTTTTTCAGGGAAGGGTCAGCTTTGGAGGTCATAGAAGCTACAAAAAATAATGCTCTTACGTGGCCACTCAGTGTCTCAATGAAAGTTAATTTTCTCTTACTGGAATTATTTTTTTTCCGAAACAATCAATTAAGAGGACTCATCTAGCACTCTGGCTGTTTCCTCCTTTATCCGTGCTACTCTGCTGTCTAAATCTTTCCACAGTGTTTATACACAACCCACAGCTTTTATGCTGTCCTTTAAATAATAATGGACTTTATCATACTTGGCAGAAACTAACTTGCTATAAATTGAATTATTTCGTTTTTTTTAAAAAGACAATATAGGCAGCTTTTAATTCATTAACTTAGGATCAAGGCTTATGACTATCTTAAGACCGTGGCAGTGTACACACACGGCAATGTCATTTTGACAGGTGCAGGCTGAAAATGAAAGCGTATCCACAACCACATTTCTTCAATGTGATAAGTTGCGAGGGCATTCAGGGATTATTATTTTAAAAATATGCTTGCTGGCTGCCACTCTGCTACCAAAAATAAGCCAGTCTTAGGCAGGCTGAGCATTAGAGGACATTCCTGGGAACTATTTCATTCAGGACCATTTGTGACAAAGCATTTTCTGAACTCCTTTTTACTACCTTCTTCCTCTGCTTTGCAGCCAAACCAGTTTATGTCATAAGAAGCAGGACTGCTCTTTGTGTGCGTGTGTGTGTGTTTTAAACCAAATATACTCTTTACTGCCAAAACGTGTAACAGACAAATTAATTTAAGCCCCGGTAGTTTATCTCCGTCGTTTCAGATCATCCATTAATGGGAGTCGGTGCCATAAAACATACCATGTTCTAGGAGACACGACAGAGGACTGGGGGAGAGAAAAATCATTGGGTGTTTGAGCTGGAGAATCTGAAGTCAGGGAGCCCAGAAGTTGTTTGCTGGCAGCCCGGTGACCTTGACCGAGTTGCTGCCCATCCGATCCTGGGTCTTCAGCTAGGAAATGCAGCCTGAGTGCCGGCCCGAGAGAGCGCCCGGGGCCAAAGGCGTTGTTAGAGGAATGAGAAGCAGCAGTGACTTGGGGGCACATCGCCCCGCACGGGTGCGGCGCCGGCGGGTTTGGAGGCCGCAGCAGGTGCCGCTCGGTCCGCTCCCTGGAGGGGACGCTGCCTGCCCACGGGGGGCCCTGAGGCGGGGTGCGGGGGTGCGGGGTGCGGGGGTGCGGGGTGCGGGTGCGGGGCGCGGCCTCTGGGCGCCCGTCGGTCCCTGGGGAAGGGCCTCGCGGGGGGACCCGGCCCGGGGCGGTCCGAGGGTGCCGGCGCCCCCGGGTCCTGGCCGCAGCACCGAGGGGCTCGGGAGGGTCGGAGACGGTGCCCTTGACCCCGGGGCGGCGGCGGCGGAGGAGGAGGAGGAGGAGGAAGGGGAGGAGGAGGAGGAAGGGGAGGAGGAGGAAGGGGAGGAGGAGGCTGCAGCGCCCCGGCTCGTGCGCCCTTCCCCGCCGCGCCCCCGCCCGCGCCCCCGCCCGCGCCCCCGCCCCGCGCGCCCGCAGCCCCCGCAGCCCCCGCAGCCCTCGCCCCCGCCCTAACGGTCCCGGCCCGCGGCCGCCGCGCCCCTCCGCCTCGGAGACGGGACCGACGTGAGCCGCCCGGGCGGGTCCGCGGAGGCGGCGGGGACCTCCCCTCCCTGGGTTCCCGCCCCGCGTCTCGGCGCCCAGCTGCGCCCGCGCCCGCCGCCGCCCCCGGAACGCCCCCTGCGCTCTTCCCCGCCTCCCCTCCCGTCCCCGTCCCCGTCCCCGTCCCCGTCCCGCGGCCGCTCCTCCGCGCCCCGCCCCGCCCCCCCCCGCGGCTCCGGTCTCCATCCCCCGCCCCTCCCCTGCCCCCCGCGGCGCCTCCATTCCCCCGCCCCCTCCTCCCCGCGGCTCCATCCTCCCCGTCCCCTCCTGCCCCCTCCCCTCCATCCTCCCCCTTCCATCCTCCCCCTCCCTCCATCCTCCCCCTCCCTCCCGCCCTCCATCCCTCCCTGCATCCTCCCCATCCCTCCTCTCCTCCCTCCCTCCATCCCCCTCCTCCCTCCCCTCCTCCCTCCTCCCCAGCTCCCCCGCCCCCCCGCGGCGCGGCTCTCACGCGCAGCCGAATCGGGCGCCGCCTCCATCAGAGCCGAGCCGGCGGCTCCAAGGAGCAGCAGCCTGTGCCGCCGCCGCCGGGCCCCCCGCGTCCCCCGCGCCCCCGCGCCCCCGCGGCCCCCATCCCGCCCCGCCCCGGCCCCGGCCCCGGCGCCCTCGCAGCCCCCCGGGCCTCCCGCCCCCCGGTGCCCTGCGGCTGCTGCCCGAGCCTGCCGGCCCGCGGGGCTGCACAGGGCGGCGGCGGCCCCAGCATGAGCCCCGAGGGCGGCCTCGGCGGCGGGGCGGGCGGCGGGGACCCCGGGCCGCCCCCGCCCCCGCCCCCGCCCGCGCCCGGGGAGCCCGGGGAGCCCGGGGAGCCCGCCGCGGCCCCCGCGCCCGCCCGCCCCCCGCCGCCGCCCGCGCCCCCCGAGCTGCCCGCGGGCCCGGAGGGGGCGGCGGCCGGGGACCCCGGGGCGGGGGCGGGGGCGGCGGGCCAGGGCGTCCCCGCGGAGCCCGAGGGCGAGCACCCCGAGACGCGCTCGGTGTGCAGCAGCCGCAGCAGCAGCAGCGGCGGGGGCGAGCGGCGCGCGGGGCTCCCGCACCAGCACCACCAGCCCATCTGCAAGATCTGCTTCCAGGGCGCCGAGCAGGTAAGGCCCGGGCGGCCCGGCCTTCAGCACCGCGGACAGCGCCCGCCCCAGCCGCACTCCCCGTCCTCCCTCCCCGCCCCGCCCCCCCCCCCACCTGGTTTCGCAGTTCTGCATTCCTCAGGTGCTTGGATGGGAGTGCCCTAAGCGTCTCCTCGGCCAGCTGCTAAGTGGCCTTTGCTTTATGGACGGAAAGTGACCCACATCCCCTTTCTCTCCGAATGCATCCCGAGGCAGGTAGCCCTAGACTGCAAACTGAGCATGAGTCATGTCGGAACCAAAAAGGGCAGGCTCTGCACGTTGCACACTGGGCTGACCTGATCTCACCGACGCGAAGAGCTCCTCACCGTTTTTTACAAGAAGACTAGGGACGTACTTTGACCTTGTGAAAGAAAGGCTGTTCGGCTAACCATATGCGTTTTGTATTGCGTCAGTAATTAAAAACTCCCCTTACAGGTGCATGCAAACTGGCACGAGAAGTAATGCGTTTTGTATTCCGTCAGTAATTAAAAACTCCCCTTACAGGTGCATGCAAACTCCCCTTAGAGGTGCATGCAAACTTGCACGAGAAGTAATGCGTTTTGTATTCCGTCAGTAATTAAAAACTCCCCTTAGAGGTGCATGCAAACTTGCACGAGAAGTAATAATCGTGCAGACAACAGCATAACATATCTCCCGCAAAGTGTGTGGTCTGAGGAAACATTAGGTTTAATATTTTTAAAAGTAAGGAAATTGCGTAAGAATATGCAGGCTTTCAGGAATATAGTGCCCCAAGTCAATATTTATGATGCTACATTTAGAAGAAAATAAAAGCATAATGCTATTGGAAGCTACTTTCTGGGATGCCAGGCATTTCTTCTTTAGCGATGATTAAGAATAACTGCAGAGGAAATGCATCTGACCATCCACTTAAAAGTTATTAAAGAGATTTAATAGTACAGCTTTCCCCCAAGGGTATTGGGAGCTATATCTTGCAGACATTTGGTATGTCGGTACAACATTTATGTCATAACTCTAAGCAATATCTTTGAAATAGTTTTAAGACTTTAGTTTCCTTCCCATCAAAGGTATAAAAATTTAATTTCATTTTTTAGGGTAGTTTGATGCTGTATCCTTCTGGGTAAACGGCTTTTAAAAGCAAGAGCAAGTGTGTGTGTGTGTGTGTGTGTGTGTGTGTGTGTGTTTAATAGAGACACAGATATAAATACTCACATGAGCTTTTTTCTTCCCAGGGGGAGTTGTTAAATCCCTGCCGATGTGATGGGTCAGTTCGGTACACGCATCAGCTGTGTCTGCTAAAGTGGATCAGTGAGAGAGGTTCCTGGACCTGCGAGCTCTGCTGTTACAGATACCATGTCATAGCCATTAAAATGAAACAACCTTGCCAGGTAAACATTTGTGACATTTTTTTTTCCTGAAATGATTTTGCTAAACATGTGTGTGTGCACTTGAGTTTAGTTATTACCAAGGATTTTTACATATGCTACTTAAAAACATTTTATGCAAATCAAAGATTTAGGATTTGTTGAGTTGTGCTTTGAGAAACCTGTGACATTTTTATCAAACTCTAGAAACATTTTATTCAAATGGTTTCCCTTATTAGTTTGTTGCTTTTTGATAAAATTATAACCATTTTGTTTCTAAAAGGGCAAAGTTGGTAAACTGTCTTGTAGTTCAATTACATTAATTTTATTAATTAGAAATGTCACACAATTTATTTTAATAATAATATTTTGTTTGATTTAACATTGAAGCCCAGAATGGGATCCACTTATGGAAAATACATGCAAGTGAAGCAGGACTTTACTAGTCTGGAAACTTCAGTTGAATCTATTAGCTTTATCTGAAAACTTTTTTTCACTGAAATAGGCTCTTTTTCATATGATGACATGCTTAGAAGCTTTGGCTACTGTCATCCTTTGCTACATAGTGGATGCAGAAGTATTTCCAACAGTTTCAAAAATATCACTGAAATTGTGTATATCCTTAAACTTTTTATGTATAGTCATATAAAACACAATACCCATAACCTTCCGAATGCCCTTGAAAATATAAGCTTTGGTTTTTTTCATGGTGGAACTGATTCAGGCTCTTTGAAGAGACTGGTGGGATATAAAATTCAAAGCGTTAAGAATGACATTAAATTAAAGCAGAATAGTGTATAATTGATAAGATCTGGTAGTGACATGGGGCTGAAGTTAAGCAGACATAAAAGAGTAGGTTCAAACCAGAGACAAAGGAGACGATGGAAGAAAGGGAAGGAAGGGGATTGAAAAGCTGGGAGGGTAAGAAAGTCATAAAATCTAGTGTTCCCTGTTTTTGTTTAAATTAACAAATGTAGTTTGCATTGAGTAATATAAAAATAGGTGAAACCTGGTGATTTCAGAGGAGCCTGGAAGCTGAATTACTGTTGCATTAATAGTTTAGATTTCATAGGTTTTAATTTGTGCATCCTTCATATGGCTTGCAATTAATTTGCATTTCTGATAGTCATCATTTAAAGCATGATTAGCAGGCATGAAATGAAAATGTGCATTTTTTTCAAGTTGACCGAAAGCTTATAAATAATTTGGAAAGGAGACTAACTAATGTGGATGAATGATGCTATCATGCTGGAGATAGGCACAAACCTGGCACATGTTCCCAGAACTTCTAATTGATTGAACTACGTGGGTATCAATTTATGGATCTATCACAGTTGTCTTGAAAGCAGACAGAATCACGTCCAGATAAATGATAAGAGTAGTATCATTGGATTTACAATAATTCTATGACTAGAAACATGGGGGGATGAGAAAAAGGAAGATTTGGGATTCCAGTGAAAAGCCGCATGATAAGCACTACAGCCAGATATTCAAGAGCTCAAATGGAATACCAAGTATTTCAGACACTTATGGCAACTATATATTAACTCATGTGAGGTGATTAGTTTTGAAGTAAGCAGAAGTAGGTCCGTGATATAATTTTAAAATAGAGAAGAAACAAAGGGCTGGGACAAAAAATATTGTTTACTAATTCTATAGCAAAATGAATTGATTTCTACTATGTTTTGCTTCATTCATAAAACAAACCATTCAATGTCATTTAACAAGAGCAGTTCCCTAAAATGTGCTAAAGAAATTAAAAAAAAAAAAAAAACCAAAACCCCAAAACTAACCCAGTGTGGCTAATACACTGAATTAATTTTATTATGACGTAGGCAAATACAGCCATGATCTGTAACGTGACCTGTTTGTGAGAGTGAAGTACAAAATAATAATTGGAATCAAAGTTGCTATTAACGTGATGATGATAGCTCAGATCATGCCCAAGAAAATAACTTTCCAGGACTATGCTAAGTGCATAAGACGCTCAGTACTCTTAACGAGTGGAAATCAGTTACGAGGTTCCTGGAGTATGGATTCTTCTACCCAGGAGCAATTTATTCTCAGATAAAGTTTCATTAGTTCTGTGACACTTCCGTTATGGATGACCTGCAAACTGAACGCTTACTCTCATTTTTGGTTTTTCTCCCTTGCTGTTGTGAGGCCGATCAGATTTAGCATTTATCACATTGATGCTTTTATGACCTGGCAGGAATCCATTTCTTCCTGGTGTAGGATCAAAAGGGAAGTATGTTTTGGCACTCCCGTTCACTTTCCCCATCCCCCTGCCCTAAGTATAGAGCCCTCCATAGCTGTGAGTGGGCGGTTCCTTGGATGGAGAACAGGAGAGAGAATAAATAATAATATTAATAGAGAACACTTGCTGAACACTTAAGCTGTGCCAGGCACTGTTCTAAGTGCTTTACATATGCTGATACTGATGGTTAATCTTCATAACAAACCTACGAGGTGTAGGGAACAGTATAATCACTATTTTACACAAATGGAAACTGAGGTAGGCACAGGAAAGTTGCATAACTTCTACTAGGGATATATCCAGTCAAAGGCAAAGCCAGGATTCAAATGTAGTCGGTCTGGCTCCGAGGTCCATGCCCCATAGTAAAAAGTGTTCTCAGTTGCATCATAGCCATTTCTGGGCCTATCGTGGCTCGTCCTGAGCAGCACTGAGCCAGTCAGGAGCTGGTTTTAGCCAGGGTCTCCAAGATGATCTAGAAAGGCTTTGACTGTTTATTGTCGTATAGCAAACTGCTCCAAATACTTAGTAGTTTAAACAGCAATCGGTTTCCATCTCTGCAGAGCCTGGGTTAATTGAGGTCAGCTGGAAGGTTCTTCTCCGCATACGATGTCCGTCTGGAACTGTAGTTATCCAGAGGTTTGACTAGATGGGAGCATCCAAGGTGGCTCACTCACATGACTTGCTCTTGGTGCTGACTGTTGGCTGGATGCTCAACTGGGGCTGTGGTTGAGGTGCCTCAGTTCTCTTTCCATGTGATTCAGATTTTTCACGATATTTTGGTTGAGTTCCAAGTACATACAGCTCTCTTGAGGCCCGATCTTGGAAGTGGCACAGTGTCATGTATGCTGCATTCTCTCGACTGAAGCAAATCACAGGGCCAGCCCACATTGAAGAGAAGGGAAAATAGATTTCACCTTTGGAATCGGTCCTTCTTTTAAAGAGAGTGGCTATCTTTAATCCACAATAGGAGATAGCTTCTAAAAATAGCTCCATCGGCCTACCCTGGTCTCTGCATTGAGTACCTGTAAGGTAGGTCAACAGACGCCACCATAACTTCCCTCCCAGGGCTCAGAAATAAAGAAAGCTTAAAAAAAAAAAAAAAAGTATGGGAGGTTGATTTCATCAGTGGTGCTTGATGCATAGCTCAAGCGCCTTCAGGAGTGATTACTACCCTGAGGTACCTCCGGGGTGCTCAGGGGCCTGTGGGGACAGAGGAGGGAAAGGAGCAGCTAACCAGGAAGCAGGAGTGTGTGTGAGGGCAACGTGCTGCAAAGAGTCCAAAACTTTAGTTTTACTTGTTTTTCTCATTGAGATTAGAGTTCTTTGAGAACGTGGGTCTAAAACACCCCATTCCATCAGATTTCAGTGATGTTCAGCAACATGACCCAGTAGAAAACCGATGTATCCTCTAAACATATTTAAACCTTAATTGCTGTGTCATTAGCAGCAGGAGTTAATTAAGACATTCCAAGTAATCAACATGCATTTACCCTCCTACCTACTTGCAGGATCTATTTTATTGATTAACATATTCAAGATGGTGCACTAATAATATTTTAAGAGTTAAAAGCTAGTTCTGTTTTGAATCTCATAGTATGGTATGAAGTTAGTAGAATCTAAGAATACATAAAACCAAGTTTTTCTGGAGATGTTGGTGACGTTGACTAATTAAGCTATATCCAAGCCATATTTTGAATGCTTTCAGTACTTTTTTTTTTCAAGAAATATAGATGTTTGAAGAGATATCATTTATTTGGTGACATATTGTATGGGAAGCCTAAGACTTGTGCTAGAAGACTGAGCGCACTGCCTCAGCATAGGAGAGTACACTCTAGTTGGAAGGTGCTTGCTGTATTACCTTGCACAGCTCACTTAACTCTTTGTGCCTCGGTGTTTAAAAGTGATCTCGAAACCCAACATTGGGCTGGAACTCATGACTCTGAGATCAAGAGTCGCAGGCTCTACCCGCTGAGCCATCCAGGCATCCCTCAGTTAACTCATCTTCAAAAGACCTTAATGGCACCTATTTCATCCATTGTTTTGAGGACTAGATGCCTAATAAATGCAAAGTGGTTGAGGTAAGGCCCAGCACATAGCAGGTGCCATTTTAACGTTGGCTCTGATGCTTATTACTGGTTCGTTCAGCTCACAGGTGGCCACGCACAGAGCAGTGCTGTTCAGCTTCTGAAGCATCATTTGTTTACACTTTGGAAATCCCCCTGCTGAGTGGGATGTGTGTGTGAGTAGGAGGAGATTGGAGAAGCCCCAGAGATCCCTGGGGGGTGATCCCAAAGAGGTTCAGACAGTTGGCAGAGCATCAGTCAGAGTGAATAGCGGCGTCCATCAGCGTTCCTTCTTCCTCCCTTACTTAGAGCACCCAAGGAAAGGAGGGGGAAGGAACTTGCCTTGGATGGCATTGAGAGCTGCATGCGGGCCGTATACCTTTGCGAGTATTAGGCCCCTGGACGTTTTTACTGGCCTGTAACATTTTTGTCAGCCTTCCCCTTATGGCTTTTCCTTTCAACACTTACAGTGCGTTGTCGGCAACAGGTGTTCTCACAGCAGTAAGAATGACTGGAAGGTCTCCTAGGAGGAAGAACGACCTGAGAGTGTTTTTCCTTTTTATCCATATTCTTAAAACCCTGGGGCTCCTCGTGACAGTTCCAGATTAGAGAGGAAGTTGGCACCAGGCGGGTTCCTCTTGGCTAATGTTCTGGACCTCATTCGTAAAGTGTTTATAGAACCTTAGCTGCTCTAGGAACCCCGT